ACAAGCTACAGCTTTTGGACGTGAGCCGAACCTAATGAAGTTTTTTGTGGAGACGCACTTATGGAGTGAAAACCGCCAAAAAGAAGTGCAATAGTTCATTGACAATCACGCTCAACACTTTATGGTATGTTTGTTCAACCATTTTTTTGTAAGTTATTATTTTTTTAATTGAATTTGATGATTTTGTTTTTTTATTTCCAAGAGACATATAATTATCGGTTGAGGGAGAGTCATGGGGATGATTTTTTGACCCACCTGGATTTCAATGTAGATTTGTGGATAGAGATAAGATCGTCTAGTGGACTTGATAGAAATTAGGTGTATGAACTCCCCAACACTATAGCCAAGAACTTGCGAATGACCCTTATTGTCTCAATCATTGGAAGCTTGAAATCGATATCAAACACCAAATCTCAGGACTTACAAAAATATACGACCAATCTCTTTGAAACATATCAAGAACTCTCTGCGAATTATGAATAACTTTGCCAAATGATCTTGGATATAAAATCACAAATAGGTGGTACATGTGTGCCTCTTTTTAGGCCATATGGTCCCGAGAATGATTAACATCCTCCTCCTCCTTCTTCGTGCCGCCATTGTTCTAGTTTAAATTTATTTGAACATTCAAATTTTTAATGAATATTTAACTTTTATATTAAGATAATTTATTTTTACATAATTTTATTTATTTATTATTATTATTATTATTTTATTTTATAAAATTTTATTTTTAAAAAAATATTTTTTAATATCACGAAGGGAGTTATTGACGGATTGAATATCCTAGAGAATTGGAAAAAAATTATTGCAAGTGCCATTATCATCAATGGAATTATGATGAAGTCAATCTGTTGGTATATTCTAAAAAGTTGAAAAAACTTTATTATATATGTTACTATTATTGACAAAATTATTCTAACAAGTAATTTTTTTTGCGTATATTTTTCATTTGCAAAACTATTAATTATTAATTTTTTTTCTAATAGAATTGCCAACATAAATGAAATTATCAATTTTCATGATGGAATGGTAATGTCATTGTCAACAAAAAAAATTTTTGGTAAAACTATTAAACATAGCAGTGTGCATATATATGTGTGTATATATATATTCAACTAAATATCCTGACTTTTTGTACCTATTAAAAATAAATTTGTTTAGAAATATAGTGTTTATTTATTTAATTAAATATATTTATACCTCTTTCATATTTATTTCGTTTATATCAAAACATTAACTTAACCTGACCAATACTAGTTTATTCGATCATTGTATGAAAAGGAAGTGTTGTCTCTGTTACAATGTTCAATTGTCATCTT